GCATATTTTGGGGGGACACCATTCAATCCATAACACGTGGGAAACGTAAAGTGAACAAAGGAAGCCAAGTAACACATAGAGCGTTACCCCATTTGTGGGGAAAAAACATATAAATGAGATAGAGATTCGTACATGTGCAGGAAAAGGTCTGTGCACACGACTACCACCAGGAAAGGGGACTGTCACTTTTTACCATGAAATGTGTATTTGAAATGTTTGCAAGTAAAACTTTTAAAACAATTTTTAAAAGAGTGAACATTAAAATGTAAACCCATTTTAAAAAGGGAAAACCAGACAATATGAATCTATTTGCAACGAGACATCTGACAAATCATTAAAACCAGCTGTCACTGAGTCAACTTCAACTCATGGGACCTCGTGTGTGTCAGAGTAAAACTATGCTCCTTAGGATTTTCAATGGCTGATTTTTGGAAGCAGATCGCCAGGCCTTTCTCCTGAGGTGCCTCTGGGTGGACTCGAATCTCCAACCTCTCAGTTAGCAGCTGAGTGCATTAACTGTTTGCATCACCCAGGGACTGACAAATCATAGTATCCAGAATATACACGTGACAATTACCAATTAATAAGAAAAAGATAAACTAACCAAGGAACCAAAGGAGATGATGGGAATTCACAGCAGAAGCCAGAGTAGTCAATAAACACGTGGGAGAAAGATGAATTAAAATTGCAATCGGATTGAAAAAAAAATTGTAAAGTCTGATGGTACCAAGAGATGGTGAAAATGTGGTATAATGGACACCGTCATATGCTGTTAGAGGGGTGAATACTGATATGACCATGGTGGCCAGCATCTTGCCAATATCTGGTAAAATTAAAGATGTTGTTGATGTTAGCTGCCACTGAGTCAGCCCCCAGCTCATGGCAACCCCATGCACAACAGAACACAGGCTGTTGTGACCCACAGGGTTTTCACTGGCTGATTTTCGAAAGTAGATCCCCAGGCCTTTCTTCCTTGCCTGTCTTAGTCTGGAAGCTCCGCTGAAACCTGTTTAGCATTAGAGCAGCACTGCAGGTCTCCATTGACAGACGGGTGGTGGCTGCGTGTGAGGTACGTTGGCCGGGAACCAAACCCGGTTCTCCCGCATGGAAGGCACGAATTCTACCACTGAACCACCTCTGCCCTCAAAATAGAGAATCCAAACAGCCTCAGGCCCAGCAATCCCACTTTTAAATGCTCGTAAGTTCTCACACACAAACAAGGAGACACATTCCAGAATGTTCGCTGCAGCATCGTTTATAATAGTAAAAAACTAGAAACTACCTAAACGCCCCTCCCAGGAGGACGAATAAACAATGTGCAGTATATGTATACAACGGGACACCACACAGCAATCAAAATAAATGAACTAGAGCTGCGTGGGTCGATGTGAGAAACAAAATCTCAAAACCAACGTTCAGTTTTTACAGAAAGTAACTTGGAGCCATAAGGCAGATCTCAACAAATTTCCAAGAATCTAAGTAATGCAGAAGACGTTCTGAAATCACAGTGCAATTAAGGTAAAAATCAATAGCCAAGGACACGCCCATGCTTTTTTGTTTTTAATGATATTTTATTGTGTTTTCGGTGAAAGTTTACATAGCAAATTAGGTTCCCATTTAGCAATTTCTATACAAATTGTTCAGTGACATTAGTTACATTTTTTACAATGCGTCAACATTCTCATTAACTGCGTTCTGGTTGTTCTGTTTCCAGTACTCTAGTTTCCCTTCCCCCCCCTTGTCTTCTCATCTTTGTTTTAGACTAATTGTTGACCTTTTAGTCTCATGTAGGTATTTTTTTTAAGGCGTTAGTATTTTCTAAAAGCAACCGAGGTCATTCTAATGTGTAGCCAGATTTGAGGTATGTAATAGACGTGGAAAGAGCTCTAAAAGTCCCCATGTTAATAAAATGAGAAATATTCTTCTAAATAACTGACTGGTCGAGAGAAATCACAATGGAATTCAGAAAAAGAGTGATAATGAAGATATTAGATATATATTATATATACATATATATTATTACACAGACATTACATATCAAAATTTATGGAATGAAGCTAAAGCCACGCTGAGAGACAAATGTAAAATGTAAAATTTATTTATTAGAAAAAAGACTGAATATCAACCACCATTCATGTCAGGAAGCTAGGAAAGGAACAGCAAATTAAACCCAAAGAAAGTAGAAGGGAACAGTAAAGCTATCCTGATTAATCACACAATAGCCAAAAGGTGGTCACAATCCAAGAGTCCATCAACAGATGAGTGGATAAACAAAATGTGGTCTATCCACCCAATGAAATATTATTCAGCCATAAAGAGAAACGAAGTTCTGATACACATCCCCACACGGATGAACCTTGAAAACATGCTGTGTGAAATAAGCCAGACACAAAAGCACAAATATTGTATGATTTCATACATGCGGAACTTCTAGAATAGGCAAATGCAGAGAGACAGAAAGTAGACTAGAGGTTACCAGGGACTGAGAGAAGGGGAGATGGGGAGTTATTGCTTAAGGGGTACAGGGTTTCTGTTTGGGGGTGATGAAAAAGTTTGGGGAGTAAACAGTGGTAACGGCTGCAAATAATATTAATAATTAATTTAAAAATACAATACTGAATATCAACAAAGTCAAAAGTTGATTCTTTAGAAACACTACTGTAATTGATAAACCTCCGGAAATGAATTAAAAGCTAAAATACAGATAATCCAGTCAGAAATAAAAGGCTACACTATTGCTGTGAAAAACACGTAACATAAAGTTACATAGTTACTAGTCGGCTAATTACCCTACTAATCTAGATCGAGGGACATTCTATAAACCAGCAGGCTGCACACTTCAGAAATGCCAGTGTCACAAAAGACAAAGTCAGGGGCCCGTCCAAGCAAGGGGGACAAGACTGGGGATCCACAGGCCTGTTTCTTGGCTGGGGCTGACTGCTGCACCCCAGCCCTTTGCCCCTGATGGGTTTTGCAGGGTGGCTCGGGCTGTTGGCCCTTTAAGTCCAGAAGCTTCTCAGGGCAGGAGGGCGTAAAGCCTTCTGGGCCCGAACAGAGACCCAGGTGGGGGCCAGAGTCCTGAGTGAGGGGAGCTGGCTTTCCCTGACAGGACTAAGGCTGTTTGGGCTCCGTCTATATTCTCTACTGAAGCCTCTGTCTCTGAGCCTCAACCTCCCACCTCTACCACCACCTAGAAAAGCGGCCCAAGACAACTTCAACCGTGGTGCCCACTCCCCTGCCCGCACCTGGGCCAGGAGCCAGTACAACCTAGCTGGAGTCGTCAGGGAACCACCTGGACCCTCTTCCCTGCTGTTTCTGGGTGCACGACCCTGTCTGGGTTCAGTGACAGATCTTCACCTGCCTCCCACCTAGGGGGAGTGTGTCAAACTTGGCTGCTCCTGGTGAGAAGTCCCAACCCCACCCCATTCCCCCACCTTTTTCTTGCACCTGAGCCCAGGGCAGGGACAGGGCAAGTCCAAGAGTGACAGAGAAGACAGTCAGGAGGCACAGCCCTCCAGGTGCTTACCTGGAGCCAGGAGGAAGGCATGGGATCACCAGACTTCATGCAACCTCCGGCCCCTCAGCCGGACTTCAAAGTGTAACGGGAGGCTCTTCCCAGGCACCCACCCCAGGTGCACCTCATTGGCAGGAAAGCCATCACCTGTGCCCCCCTCCCACCCCCGTGCACCCTGCCCCACCCTGCCCATGGGCGCCCACCCCACCTGCGCGTTGTTGCAGGGAGCAGGAACTGCATCAGCACAAGGAAGCTCCTTTCGGCCCTCCGGGGCCAGGACTGCGTGCTCCCTCTGTCCCTATCACCTGTCCCAGCCACCCCACCCACAGCCCCTACAGCAGCCCCAGCAGGTGGGCGCCGGGTCTCCAGGTGGGCATCAGTTGGCTGGCATGTGCGCTGGGGCACGTCTCTCGTGGGTGTGCCCTTCCCCTGGCACAAGTTGGTGCCCCCATAAGGGCAGGCTGGGGGGTCACGGCGGTCGGTCGTGGGTGCGCCCTGGCACAAACACCTACATGCAGTGAGGGCGCCAGACTGTTCAGCAGCCACTAGATTGTTGTTAGCTGCTGTCCAGTTGATTCTGATCATAGCTACCCATGTGTGCACAGTAAAACTACTCATAGGGTTTTCCTGACCATCATAACAGAAGCAGATTGCCAGGCTTTTCCATGGTGCTGCTGGGTGGGTTTCAACTGCCAACCTTTAGGTTAGCAGTCAGTTAAGCATAAACCCTTTCACCACCTAGAGACCTTTGGTCCACTTAAAGGGTCACTTGCCTCCCCTCTGGCCTCTCCTCCTGAGGCCTAGCAATTACTGTTCTGAGTCCCCACCTTCTTTGACATTTCTTTGCTCATTTTCTCTTCTAGCCGCTTCGCTCACTACACTGGACCAAAGTGGTTAAAGCTCGGGCTCTGGCCGCAGCGGCAGCTTGGCCAAGCCACCCCATCGGGGACAGGGGGCCCTGGGCCAGACACTCTCCCGGCAGGCTCAGTGCTGGCCACTGCGAGCATCCAGTTAAGTTAAAAAAGTGCTCTAAGGTCTTTGCTTCCTCTCTAGCCTGACTCCTTCCCCGACCCCCTTCCCCATCCAATGGAAGGCTGGGCCACCAGGCCTGCCTAGAGTACCCCCTTCCCCACATGGCCCTTCCTGGCCCACCCTCCCTGCCTCAGGGTCACTCACTGAGGCCAATGGACCTAGCTCATTTTCCTGACTCGCTTCACTGGCCAATCCTGCCTCCTGCTGAGCAGAGCCTTCTCCCAGAGCAGAGATGAAACCCTACTGCAGGCTCCACGGCCCCAACACACACATACACACATACACAACCCTACTGAAGCCACCACAGCCCCCCCACACACCCCCACACAGAACCTACTGCAGCTGCCACAGCCCCAACACGCACACACACGCACGTGCACACACAGCTTCAAAGGGCCCATCTCGCTCCCAGAAGCACCAGAGAAGGCTGAGGACACAGGTTCATTTTATTACCCAGCCAGCCTCACCTCACTGCCCCAGAGCATGACTTGGAATGCCTACTGTACCCCTGTGGTACTTTACCAAGAACGGTTCAGTGGGCTCTGGGCTGTTTCCACAAGCCCAGCCCCTCCCCAAGACAGGCAGAACCCCAGGCCTCTGCTGCTTTGAGGTCCGGTCATTCTGGCCCCACCAGATACCTTCTCCTGACCCCTGAACTCAGGGGACAGAGCAGAGGCTGCCCCGAGCCTGCCCAGCTGGGTCCTCACGCTGAGCACCAGGACCCCATGAGCAGAGTAGACTGCATGGAGCCCAGAAAACAGGAACCAAAGCAAGGGGCCACACAGCACCCCCTGCCTCCTCCAGGAGGCCACTTCTACCAGGTGGAGAAAGTGAGGCACAGTGGTGAAGAGAAGGGAGAAGAGCCAGGACGCTGAGCTGACGTGGGTCCCTCAGACTTGCTTCCAGATAGTTTGGGTTTGTGGGGAGGTGAGGGGCATCCGCAGGCAGCAGCAGGAGCCCCTTCCACCCAGCCCAGAGCAGAGGCCGGGTGGCATGGCGGCACAAGGAGGCATGGACCTGTATCTCTGAGGGAAGAGTCACGATTGAGGCCATGTACCCCGACCCCCCGGTCCTCAGGCCAGCCCGGCTCCCCACGGGCACAGGCTCAGCCCCGGTAGCTCTTAAGCACATGCCCAGCAACCACCAGCCTCTGGATCTCGCTGGTGCCTTCGTAAATCTCGGTGATGCGGGCATCACGGTAGTGTCGCTCGGCCGGCATCTCTGTCACATAGCCCATGCCACCGAGGATCTGGATGGCCTACAATGGGAAGCAGGGGCTCAGGAGAGAGAAGGCCCCCCACTCTTGGAGAACACAGTCAGTGGCAGGACCAGCCACCCGAGGACTAGCTGGGGGAGGGACAGGTGGCACACATCTCTGGGACACTCACCTGGTGGCTGATGGCGGTGGCAGCCTCCGATGCAGCTAGCTTGGCCATTGCAGCCTCCTAACCACAGGAAGTGGTGGTCAGAAATTTCCTTGGATGGGGGGGCGAGCTCATGGGCCTCTCAGCAGGGCTGGCCTGGGGAGCCCCCCTTGGAATGAAAACCCACAGGCCCACCCTCATCTCTAACCCACAGATGCCATGGAACTGGGACCCACCACCAACTTCCCCCTCAGCCCCTCACCCACCAAGCTCTGGGCCTCAGGAGACCCCTCCCTGCAGGCACCTTGATGAAAGGCTTCTTATTGTCCTTCAACATGGCAGCACGCCAGGTCAGTAGCCGGGCACTCTCCAGGGCCAGCGCCATGTCCGCCAACTTGAACTGCAACAAGCCAGCCCCCCCAGTCGGTGGTTGCTCCTCCCTCCCCTCTTCCCTTCAAGGACAGGAAGAAAAGAGGAGGAGGGTGTGGGAGCAGGGGAAAGCACTGCTGGGAGCTGGCTGTGTCCACGCCCTGCTCCTGAATCCACCTCGTACCTGGATGCCCTGGATCTTGGTGAGGGGCGCCCCAAAGGCCTTGCGGTTCTCGGCGTAGGTCACGGCACAGTCGAGAGCAGCCTGGCCGATGCCCAGGGCCTGGGAGGCGATGCCAATGCGGCCCATGTCCAGGGTTTGCTGTGGGGAAGGGCTAGTCAGCAGCTGGCGGCGGGAGGCCCACTGCCCAGGGTACCCCGTCCCTACCCAGAGCCCCCCATTCCCAGGCTTACCATGGCGATCTTGAAGCCCATTCCCGGCTCCCCTAGCAGGTTTTCCTTGGGGATGCGACAGTCCTCAAAGATGAGGTTGGCCGTGGACGAGGCCCGGATGCCCAGCTTGTCTTCCTTCTTGCCCAGCGTGAGCCCAGGCGTTGGCATGGGAACCAGGAAGGCGCTGATGCCCTGAAAAGGCCCCAGCCCGAGTATTTTCCCATAGGTGGTCCAGGCCCGCGAGCTCCACCTCCAGCCACGCCCCTCACGCACACCACACCACAGCCGCCAGCCCCCCAACACCGCCCTCAGAACCGCAGGCCTGGCGCCCTCTGCTGGTCCTCGGTGGAAGGCCGCAGGGAGGGCGGAGCAGCCCCGGCTCCTCACCGCAGGCGCAAGGCCAGTCGGGCCAAAGTCCCCAGGAGAAGCCGAGGAGCCTGGATCTAGAAACTCTGAAGTTACTGCAGCCCAGGGTCCCACTGGCCCTCTGTGGGGCGCCCACCTTGTTATGCAGGGACCTGTCCGTGCTGGCGAAGACCACGGCGGCGGAGGCCTCCCAGGAGTTAGTGATCCAGGCCTTGGTGCCATTCAGGACCCAGGAGTCACCGTCTGCGACGGCCGTGGTGGAGGCGGCGCCCGCGTCGCTGCCGTTCCCTGCCCCACACACAGAGTCCAGCGCTGCCTCCATCCCACCAGAGGGCACTGCCGCCACCTCATCCCACGGCCGCCTGACCCCTGCCGGTGAGCACTGGAGACCCCGCAGCCCTGAGCACCAGGCCGCAAGCTCGCCAAGCCCAGAGACCAGCCCAGGAAGGCACGGGGGTCGCGCAGGAGGAGGGCACCTTTCCGCCGAGGGACCCCAGGGCAGAGCCCTCCTCACAGAGTCCACAGGCAGAGGGCGGCCTGCCATTCATGCTGTTCAAGCCGAGGGCCTCTCCTCACTGACCCAGATCAGCATGGGCCCTGGGCTCCCACCTCTCCCCTTGGGGCACCCCAGCGCCAATCTGTTTGTCCCCGATTCTGGGCGAGGGAAGGGTCAGGTCAGGCTAAAACCCACTGGCCACCGAGGTACCTGGTTCGCTGAGGGCGAAGCAGCCAATTTTGTCACCAGTGGTGAAAGGAGTGACCCACTGCAGCTTCTGCTTCTGGGAGCCGAACTTCAGGATAGGTGCCAGATAGAGGGACTAGGGACAGGGGGACAGTCAGAGCCTTCACGCCCAGCCACCCCTGCCCATAGGCCCCCCTAAGGCCTATCCTCTCCGGTGACTGACCCAGCAGGGCCAAGTCCAGAGAAGTTTCCAGGGAGCAGGGGCTGAGAGACCCCTGGGCACCCTCTGCAGGCCTCCTGAGGTTCGGGCACATGGCCAGAGCACTGCCCACCCATAGAAGCCCTTCTAGCCTGGGTGTCCCAAGGGTCCAGGGGGTGCTCACATTGTTGACGCTCATGATGGCGCCAGTGGAGGCGCAGCCCCTGCTGATCTCCTCCATGGCGATGGAGTAGGCAAGGTAGTCGAGGCCGGCACCGCCCAACTCCTCGGGCACATCCATGGCTAGCAGCCCCAACTCACCCATCTTCTTCACCTAGCCCGGGGAAGGACGTCATGGCAAGGGGCCGCTGCTGGGGCCAGTGCCCACCCCAAACCCTACCATCACCACAAGCCCTCCTGGCCCTGAGCCAGCACCTGCATGAACTTGGGCCACATGATCCCGCCACACACCCACCTCACGGTCCCCAAATCCAGATGTTCAAGACCCAGCCTGGCTGAGGTCTGCACAAGGGCACCATTTGTTCAAGCCACTCAGGAGCAGTTCCTGCCCCTACACTCCACGCTGGGTCATCTCTGTCCACAGCCACAGCCAGTGAGCAGGCAGAAGGCAGAGGAAGCCTTCAGGGGCCTCCGGGGTAAGAAGGTAGGACGGCACAGTGCCAGACTGACTGCTTTTCAGTCCCTTAAGCACACCACACACCCCTCCCCACCACAGGGCCTTTGCACATGCTGCTTTATGTTAGTAACACCCTGTAAACCAAAAAAAAAAAAGAAAAACTCATTGCCATCAAGTCGATTCTGGCTCATAGCGACCCCATGTGTTACAGAGTAGAACTGTGCTCCACAGGGTTTTCTTGGCTATAAACTTAATGGAAAATAAGCTCTGGTGGTGCAGTGGTTAAGTGCTCAGCTGTAACCAAAAGGTCGGCAGTTCAAATTCATTTTGTTTTGTGACACTGGTTGCCAACCCTGTGATGTGGCAACGCTCTCCCAGTCTCCACCCCCAGGTTTCCTATTTCCATCTGTCTAGTTTTCCTGTCCCTTCCTGCCTTCTCATCTTTGCTTTTGAGCTGAGGTGCCTATCAGTCTTGTAGACATGACTGAACTATGAGGCATGTTTCTGCCACGTGTTATTGCTGGCCCTATTGACCTGTCTAATCTTTGGCGGAAGGGTGAACCTCCGGAGTGACTTCAGTACCGAGTGGAAACAGTGTCCGGGGGCCATACTCTCCAGGTTTCTCCAGTCTCTGTCAGACCAGCAAGCCTGGTCGTCTTGTGTGTGTGTGTGAATGTGAATGTTGTTCGACATTCTTCTCCCACTCTGTCCAGGTCCCTCTATTGTGATCCCTGCCAGAGCAGTCGGCGGTGGTAACTGGGGCACCATCTAGTTGTTCTGGGCTCACTCTGGTGGAGGCTATGGTAGTTGTGGTCCAGCAGTCCACACCTCCAGATTTCTGGCCCTGCCGTGGGAACTCTCTGAGAAAAAAAATTGGCAACAGCAATAATGGTGGTAATGGGGCAGGGAGACCAGCAGCAAGGGAAAGAAAAGCAGTGGCAGTAGACAGAAGAGACAATGTAATCAAAAAGAAAAAAAAATAGTGGCCATGGAGTTGACTCCGAGTCACGGCGACCCCATGCGTGTCAGAACAGAACTGTGCTCCATGGGGTTTTCAGTGGATGATTTTTCAGAAGTAGATCGCCAGGGCTTTCTTCCGAGGTGCCTCTGGGTGGACTCAAACCTCCAACCTTTTGGTTAGCAGCCAAGCGTGTTAACCACTTGCACCACTCAGGGGCTCCAATAAAAAAGAAGTCAAAAATAAAATGAAAACCAGCCCCCCTCCAAAAAAATTGCATGTGTTAGTTTTGTAAATAGTTTCTGACCTAAGGAACCTGATGGTAGTCGGTGGACAGCAGCCAGGCTCCCTCGGTATTTTAGCGTTTTATCCAGAGAAGCGTGACCCTTGCAGCAATCTAAGTGACTTCCTAAAGCCACCCACGTGATTACTCTTGGTCCCCGGTCTCTGTGAATCAGGAACCCAGACCTGCATCCTAAAGAGGCAACACCACCGACGAGACTAACTCCCCACCACCAAAAAAAATAAAAACCAAACCTATTGCCAACGAGTCGATTCCAACTCATGGTGACCCCAGGTGTTACAGAGTAGAACTGCTCCATAGGGTTTTCTTGACTGTAATCTTTACAGAAGCAGATCACCAGGCCTTTCTTCCATGTTGCTGTTGGGTGGGTTTGAACCCCACCTTTATGTTAATAGATAAGTGCAAACTGTATCCATTACCCAAGGACCCCAGGCCAAGCCCAATAGTCTCCAAACTCCTGAGAACGTGTGAGAAAGAGCAAGACCCTTTTAAGCAGCAACAAACAACAAGCCTTCAGCACCTGCTGCCTTCATATTTGGGGCAAGGTCAATGGGAACTTCATATGAAAACAATGCTTTCAGTCCTTCAAAAGCTCACATTTTTCAAAAATTAAATTTCTCCCGAATATGCCTATTCTCACTACAATCAAAACTAAATCCCTTTAAAGAATAAAATTTCCTAATTTGTTGGAGATTTGCTGCTTATTCAAGAGAAAACCTCTCCTTTGCCATGAGACCAGAAGAAATGGATGGTGCCTGGCCACCATGACTGAACATTTTCATCAAGGATTCTATAGGAGAATCCTGATCAAAAGGGGGAAAATGCAGAACAGAATTTAAAATTCTCATGGACTCCAGACATTCTCGAGCCATGGAGGCTGGATGAACCCCGAAACTATTGCCCGGTGATAATCTTTAAACCTTAAATCAAAAATAGCCCGATTTAGCCAGGGATTCGACAGCCTCATAAAACAAAATAGGACTAATGAGGCACAGCGTCCAGGGTCAAGGACTAGAAGGCAGGAAGGGACAGGAAAGCTGGTGATAGAGAACCCAAGGTTGAGAAGGGACAGTGTTGACATGTCGTGGGGTTGTTAACCATTGTCATAGGGCAATACGTGTACTAACCGTTTAATGAAAAACTATTTGTTCTGCAAACCTTCATCTAAGGTTACCAAAAAAAAAAAAGAATTATCAATGTGAGATCAAATTGACAACAGCAACTCAAAAGGTTTGATGCGAAGCCTAGGGGACAGTGAGTTGAAGATAACGGTGATGGAATAAT